TAGTGTGTAGATAATTGATAAATCCAATATTAATTTTCAAAAATATTGCAATTATATCTTATTTATAAACAAGAGGATAAAATAATTATATTATCATCTATTACAAGAAATAGTAAAAATATGACTAAATTTTGACAAATTGATAGTATAATCATTCTAAAAATTATAATTTTAATAGGATCCCATTACCTTTTTTATAAATTTTGATAATGAGAAATCTTGATTAAAAATAATTTTTTATAATCAAAAATTATAGTGATTATCAAATACATTAATTTATCTTTATATCTTCTAGATTTTTATTACATTATGTAAAAATAATAAATAAATAATTATAAATTCAAATAATCATAAAAGCTTAATTTTTACAATTAAATATTATAAACATAAATTGATTGTTAAAATTGCAATAGATAGAGATATTGTAATTATAATTTAAATCTAAAATATAATAAATCTTATCAAAGTTGAAAGTTAGTAATTTTAAATATTTGGAATTCAGGATAAAAGAATAATGAGTCAATTAAATGATGAACTTAAAATATATGTTGTTATTGAAAAAGGATAATGTAATCTCTTAAATTTGATTTATTAAAATCTATCCATAATATTTAGAAACTAAAGTTGTTTGAATAAGTAAATAAACTAATTAATTGAGATGGTATTCGATTAGAATATTTGCTCGAGGAAATTTATCTATAATTAATTTAATAATAAACCTTGATTCTTCATAAAAGAAGTAGAAAAAAACAATAATAATTAGTTTAAGGATAAAATTATAGTAATGACATCAATTACCTGTGAAACTTATAATTAAATTTAACAACTTTAAAAGATTGTTACAAATCATATGAATTGTATAAAAAAATGTAAAATTCAATGAAGGATATTTAATCAAAAATTAATCAAATTAATCTTAATCAAAAAGTCAACATTAAAATTTATAATATATTAATGAATCAACATCCTTCAATAATGGTAATATTTAAATGGGTATGTAAATATTGTAGGAAAAATAAAAAATAGAAGAATATATAATTTAAAAAATATTAATTGATGGCATCAGTGAATCAGAAAGAAAATGTTAACAATTAAATAATCCTTTATACAATTGTTTCATACTATTTCAAAAAGCTTACTAATCATTTAAACTTGCATGTGAAGATATTGAATATTATTCATCAATGAATGATAAACTACAAAATATGGAATAACAACAACTCTAAGAAGAAATAAAACTTTAGAAGAATATTAAATATTTTCTTTTTTAAATTAGTAATTATTATTAAATTAAATTGTTATGCTATATTTTAGAAAGAATTAGATTAAATTGCAAAGCTAAGAAGATTATAATAATAATTTGTGGATAATACGAGGAAATAATAAAAAATTTGTGAGTAAAAAGGTATAGAGTTATGTTAAGTTTTTAATATTGTAAAAGAGAAATACAATGAATTAATATTTATTCCTTTAACAAACCAACTAACATTTATGAAGAGCTGAATAGAAAAGAAGATAATTGTTAATTTAAATTAATTCAATTAACCAAATCAAGTTTGATTTATTATTCAACCCATCGCATTATATGAATTAAAATTATTAATGTAGAAATAACTTTTAAAATTGAGGAAACTACAAAGAAAATTCCATAGAATAATTAAATATAAGAATTTAATAACAAATATTATATAATGTAAAGAATAATATCATATA